GGGATGGGTTTAAAATGCCTTATATAAAGTATATGTATATATATATATATATATATATATATATATATATATATATATATATATATATATATATATATTTATATATATACATACTGTATATATATATATATAAATATAAATAACTTACTACTTATTACTTGTAATACTATTTCTACTTTACCGTTTTTCATTTATCACAGGGCTTCAGGATACGGGTCCCCCACAATAAACGAGGGACTACTGTATACAAATATTCAAGTCAGATCTTTTGTTAGGGGCAAAGGTTCAGAACAATCAGCGATTAGCTTTTATTAAAGCCGTTTATAAATTACAACCCCAAAATGGCATCACTTGCCTACAATTGTTTGCTTGTGAACCTGAGCTGCTCCAACTTTTGACAGTAAAGCTTAAAGTACACTGTATGATAAGAGATTTCAATTTAAACTTGATTGACCAAGTTATTTTACAAGCCTCAATAACGTGAGTTGTCCTTGAAAATGAACAGGCGAAGTAACACTAACATAGAAATGTTGGAAGTAAAAGTTAAAGATGCTCTGAGAGTTGAAATACAGAAAGGGTAAAAGTGGCACTTTACGACTTTAATGTGTATCTAAACGTCACTAAAGACAGTCAGTGAGAGTAACTGACTTAAATGTTTATTTGTCAAGAAAAAGTAACATAAGATTTTTACTACACCTATTGTAAATGCAGACTCACACAGATTAGTATGTGGTGAGGATAAATGCATATTTTTCTGTTGTTTCTATTGAATCTACATTTCTTTTTAGCTCATTTAGATAACTCCATGATGATGTGATGTAACACCAACTTTTCTGCTGCTTTTGATGACACTCACAGAGGCCGAAGCTGCACAGTAGTGCGAAAACTGACTCAGATCTCCTGAGGCTTAAAGAGTCGTAGCATTTATTGCTGTTCCTGCAACATACACTGTACATGCACTGATCAAAATTCAGCCTTATACAGCTAATTTCACTCCGTCTCACTAGTGTGCTCTGATTAAAACACAGAGCGGATGGAAACAGGCTCATGCTCTCCCTCACTCACCTCGTGCACTCTCTCTGTGCGCACTCTTAAAGAAACACCACTCTTATAACAGTAGGACTATTGCTTTGGACCATTGCATTTCATTGAATATAACATAACATCTGGGCTGGGTCTGGAAAATCTTGTTAGATTTGGACCCAAAACAGAGTTCCGACTGAGAATCGCTGATTTAGAGATCCATTACCATACCGTTTTATTTATAGAGCACTTAAAACAGCAACAAGGCCAACCAAAGTGCTGTGCATGTGAAACAAACAAGTAAAACACACAGTAAAAATACATAGACCCAAAATGAAAAGATAATAACAAATAGCTAACACTGTAGAATACAGACATGTTAAAAACAAATTACACAGTGTCAAAGGTCAGGGAATAAAAGTGGGGTTTTAAGCGAGACTTAAAACCATGAGGGAGGGAGCCTGCCTGACATGCAGTGGTAACTCATTTCACAGTTTTGGACCTGCAACAGAGAAAGCCCCATCACCTCTGAGCTTAAGACAGGTTCCTGGAACCAATAGAAGCATCCAATCTGCTGACCTCAGAGATCGCTGTGGGACATATGGCTGCAGCAGATCAGCTACTGTTCAGAGATTTAAAAACATACAGGAGTACTTTGAACTGAATTCAAAAGTGAACTGGGAGCCATTGCAGGGGGGCCAAAACTGGTGTAATGTGCTCTCTTTTGCCTGTACCGGTTAAAAATCGGGCTGCAGCATTTTGGACCAGTTGTAGTCGTGCAATGGAGGTCTGACTGATTCCAAACAGAAGCGCATTGCAGTAATCGAGCCTGGATATTATGAACTCATGTATTACAGTCTCAAGTTTTTTTTTTTTTTTTTTCATTATGTGGTTCAGTTTTGACAGTAGCCCCCCCTGGGCACCCCCCCCCCCCCCCCCCCCCCAGGGTTTAACAATCATGTTTACATGACTGTTAAGTTCCATGGAAGAGTCCATTATCATTCCCAGATTAGTGACTATGTTTCTCTAGCAGGGCTAGAGAGGAAAGGTTGATGCAGTGGTTCTTGATTATGCAATTAGGAGGGAACAACATGACTTCAGACTTCTTCTCATTAAAAGTTAAGAAATTTAAAGCCATCCAGTTCCTGATGTTGGCCAGGCAGTCAAGAAGAGGTTAAATAGTATGTGCACTAGTGTGCTTCAGAGGGAAGTAGATTTGACAGTCATCGGTGGCAGCAGGTATAAAGAAAAAGAAGCGGACCAAGGATCGACCCCTGCGGTACGTCCCCACCGAAGCGCAGCCAATGATAAACTAAAATATTTCATGTTGACACAAAACGTTCTGTCATAGAGGTAGGATCTAAACCATTTGAGGGCTGACCCCATGATGCCCACACATTGCTCCAGCCTAGAAATAAGGATCTCATGGTCATTGGTGTCAAAAGCAGATGTAAGGTCCAGTAAGACAAGGAGCACAGAATCACCTGCATCTGTGTCTAGGAAAATGTCATTAAAAACCTTCAATAAGGCAGTCTCAGTGCTGTGGAGAGATTTAAAGCCGGATTGCAACCCCTCTAAAATAGAGTGATCCTCCAGGAAACATTTCAACTTATTAGCATTTAAACAAATTACACATCAAGTTCCACATTACTTTTGCAACTAAACAACACATTTCTTTTATACACATCACCCTGCCTATGTGTTTGGCAGGAATTATATTTTTACCATTTCAAGTGTGCTGTAAATGTTCTGTTGTGAAATATAAATCAGATATACTTTGCGCGCAAAAAACAATAATCGAAAAATCTAATTTTCTTGCAAATATTAGAGAGAAAATTAAATAATCTGGCTCACTAGTACAACTTACACATACCAAAAATTGACTAAATAAATAAATAATCCAAACTGGTTATGTACTCAACTATTATTTTTTCATTTTTTATACATAAAGTTATGCTTTTGTCACATTAAAAATATCAGATTTATTCTGAAAAAAGTCTAAAGTTTACAGTGCAATGACTCTGGCATACCAGTTTAAGAGATTATACTTGAAACATCCTATATGTATACATGGAAATGTATAACCTCAGATTAGGTTCAGAAAGTTGAATCGTAGTTGAACTACTGTCGGTAAATAATAAACAGCCTAAACGGTCTTTTGCTTTAAAAATGATGCATTAAAACCCAAAAAAAGAGAATGAAAAAGAGGAAGAAAGGCGTATGAAAAATCGAATTATGCCCAACATTATACGTAAAAGTATGAAAAACGAGGTATTGCTCATTATGACTACCAAGGATGTGAGATCTTGATTGATTTCCTCAGAAATGACAGCGAATCACAGCACAGCGCCTCCTACTGGCCACTTTTTGCTCCTTTTGCATCACCAGTCTGTGTCCCTTTTGGCATCACTTAAATCTTCAGCAGAGCTAAATGCTCTGTTCTCTTTATTCCCTGAACAAAAGATAATCTGTGAAATTATTTATCTTCCTGGGTAAGGAATTGGGATAATATATTATTAAACAACCCCACATTTTACATTGGCATGGGATGGGCTCTTGGAGCAAAACTTTGTTTTCATCTACATAGTGCAGGCTGGATTAAGTTTGACTGCACCAATGCTGTTTTCACTGAATACTTTAAATCCACATTTCAAATGCTGCATGACTGGAGCTGCATACTCCTCAGAAAAAGCAGAACGGGGATTCCTCACTCTGAACAATAAATTAATGTTTTAATCTCAGTAGGTAACCATGAAGCCGCAAGCTAACCTTTCCACCTATTATCCTTAGCTTCTTTTCCACATAAATTTCCTCATGGCCCACGGAGGACTGTTTGTGGCTCCTCCTGATGTGTCTGAAGACCCCATTTGAGGTTCGTGGAGGATGAGAAGAAAAAGGCCAGGGAGGGTTGAAATGCAACAAGAGAATAACTGGAGAGACTGGAAAGAGCCTGGAGCCATTTTTCCTTTCCTGTTCTATCCTCTCATCGTGTGCCAGGAGAAAAAGAAGTTACATCAGGAGTGGAGTTTTTCTTTTTCTTTTTTTATCTGTTCTTATTTGCTGTTTTGTCCTAGAGGAGAGCTACTGTCAAGAACACTAAAGAGCAGAATCTCAGGATGAACTGCCAACGGACAAAAGTGTGAGGAAAAAGGAACGGAGGAAGAAGGGAAAGCAGAGTTGTTCTGAAAGTGGGTTGGAGGGTAGAGACACAAGACCTGACGAGCGGCAAATCCAGTGACGGGCCAAAAATACAACCGAACCACCAAAGACAGCAGAACAAATAAAACGAGTGAAGAAAGGAAACGTGAGAAAACACAAAAAATGGGAACAACAGATATGCGTTTACTGCTAATAAGGTTACAACTCCTCTGGTAATAATGTGCTACTGAAATCCAAGTTCCAACAACTACACCAGGGGTATTCAATTATAATTTAAAGAGGTCTAGTCAGACAAAAATTCATGAGGCCATGGTCCAGAAGTCCAACTATTTAAAGTGATATATATTTTTATGCTGCTGTTGTTCGGCGTATTGTTTTTGTACTATCAGTGCTTAGTATATTCTTAGCATATTTCTTAGTTCATATTTTAGATCTTATTACTGTTTTTCTTTTACAATTTATAGTTTTGTTGGATGTAACTGGGACCCTGTGTACACAATATCATTCCATCACATGTACCACACATGATGAGAATGACAATAAAGAACCTGGACTTGAATTAATATTTATAGTAGCTATGTCGTTTTATCAGCATCTGCAAGCATTAAGTTGCCTATCAAATGAAATTAATTCAGACTTATTCAAGTACTTTTGACAACATTTATTGTCATAATGCAAAGAACTGAACATGTATGTTTAATTTCTGTTGTCTAATGTTCTCTCATTTACTGAGTAATAGCATAACATGTCAAAATAAGAACCTATGTAAAACATGACAACTGTTTATGTTCACAAATGACTAACTTCAGAAAAAAAGTTTGATTTACATTTTTATGTTTCACATCTGCACTCAACCATCTCAAAATGGCAGCACGCATGCGCACATACACAAGCACATGCACCAGTGTGCAAAAAGTGTACACTAGTGTACAAAAAAAAGCAACATTTCACCTAGATTTCCATATTTTAATTCCACACATTTAAAGCATGTTTCTCACCAAGTTTGAGTAAATTCAGCTGTGGGTTTTAAAGACATTTCAACTTTAATGCACTTTCACACACAGTCTCAGCTCGACACTATTTGTGTTCATAGAGAAATAAAAAACATCACTACTAGACTTTTTTTTTGCTTGTGTTCAACACTACTCAAGTGAAAATAAGTGAAAGTGAAAAACCACCAAGTAGGAGTAGTAGTACAAGTAGTAAGTAGTCTATGTTAGTATTTATGTATTTATTTAGTATTTAAAACACCATATATATATATATATATATGCAATGCTCTAAACAATGTTTCTAAACTCTAGACACTCTAAAAGAGCACAGCATGTCATGATTTCAGCTCTCTGCCTCCACTGCAATCTGCCACTTGCCAGCGCTCTTGGCCACGCCCACTTCTCCACTGCAGAGTGGAGATATGACATCCTGCAGGAGGAAGCTTATCCTGCAGCTTGGGCTGCACACAGGTGCTAAATAATATAAAATAATTTATTTTAAATAAAAATTCAATGCCAGTCGTGCGGCTCATCCATCAATCAGCCATTGTGTGTCATGTCCAATCTTATTTTGAAAAACCGCGATAGAGCGTGTCCGTGAAAAATGAACCATGAAGCAGCGAGGGATTACTCAAACAGCTTTATTCACTAACAGGTCTCATTTTTCCATACTCTTCAAAATACAATATGTATATAGTACTAAAAGTATAAAAATCAGCTTATAAAATGGTAATTTTAAAAATATTTTGTATTATTTAAACATACTGTTTATTAAGAGATCTTTCATTTATCATCAGCGGACATACACAGAAACATAATCACTCATAAACAGATGAAGGGCTGCAGTTTATATTAGATATCAGTCTGTAAGAGAAGAGTACGAACACAAAAACACTGCAAGTGTATGTAGAGTAACGAGTAAAACGTGAATGTGTCTAAGTTCCAATCAGTGCTGGGGCTTCATCCTGGCAGTGAGCAGAAATGTCATCACAGTGGGAATAAAAATGTCTCCCCCACTGGTAAATCTCATTACTGCGTGTTGGAGCGATGTCATTAAAAGCTTAACGATGTTAAAATCACAACAGGTATACCTGCCCTGCTTCTGTTTCTAAACATCAGCGTGGGCAACAAATGTCCCGACTGCGAGAAATGTGATGTCTCATTTTAAAAAAAAAATGCAGAATTGACAGCCATTTTTGTAAATTCTGGTTTGAACAAAATAGATATACACCTGTTTCAAATCAATAAAGCCACATTATTAATATTTCACAGGTTTGGTATGTAAGATTTAGTTCAGTTTGCTTGTCATTAGATGTGTCAGCCTCTAAGGTCTGTTTTGTATCCCATCCTCAGAGTGTAAAAAAACTCAACAATCCTCAATTGTTCCAATTTTAAATGTCTTTTTATATCAAAATGTTTTTGTTTTAGTTACATCATGGTACATTTGGGACAGTGTGCCTTCAGGGTTTGATTCACTGATGATGCGTTTCCTCCTTTGCTGCTTTAACCTCTGTGAGTCATGAAAGAGAAACAAAAAATAAAACGACTATAAAATTGAGTTTTTTTTTTTTTTTAACATCTTTAAGCATTTTTATGTCTCAGCTATTTTAAGAGCTTGATTGTATTTATAATCATATTTTTCCAGATCACTGCCTCAGAAACTGCAGGTTACTTTCTTCTTAATGCGGCCAAAATTCAAATATAAAACACCCTTATTGACAATTAATTGTGTTATATATGTATACAAACATGGGGCTAATATGCTGTTCAAATAAAACCACTGACACAAAACGTGTAGCTAAAAAAGCACAAGCGACATTGTGACATTAAAGAGTTTCATTTGGCTGCCTCAGGTGGACTTTCTGGTTATTTTTATGACAGAAAATCAGTGTAAAAATACAATAAGCTGCCTGTGGCATTACTTTTACCAGAGGGTTGATGAGGAGGACACTGATACTGGAACAAATGGGGAGAAAGGGAGGTGGATAATTGATTGAACAAAATACTCAAATTGATCTGAAGAAACCAGCGCTTAACAAGACAAAGACAGATGTGTAAATCAGAACAGCAAAGAGGGAGAAAAAAGGAAGGGGAGAGGATCCAACAGTCCATGGACATTCACTCACATACAGTATGCAGGCGTGGGTTAGAGAAAAGCTGACACATATCACTGTGAGTCAATGAAGCAAAAGAGGAGAAAATATGCAAACGTGTGTGTACCACACAATCAATAAAAACCTTAAACAAGTGCACAGAACTAGACATTACGCCATAAATAACCATGACCATATGGGGACCATGTTGCTAAGAGAGCCTCACTGCTAACAGAACCACTCTGCTAATAAGACTGCTGCCAACAGAACCACATTACTAAGATAAGATACAGTAGAAGATAAGATAGAACTTTATTTATCCCGCAGGAGATGATTGTGCCAGAGTTTCAGTACAAAGGAACATACACAAGAATCACAAAATATAAAGATAAAATAATATAAAAATGCCAACAATTCAGTTCAAAACAGGTGCAGACAGAAACATTAAAGAGTTAATTGTAGTACAGGATTAATTTTATTGCCCTATGTGCAGAAAGGGGAGGAGTTGAAAAGCTTGATAGCCACAGGGAGGAAGGACTTCCTGTGGTGTTCTGTGGAGCACCTCGGTGGTCTCAGTCTACGACTGTCGACTGAAGGTGCTGCGGTAAGAGTCCAAGGTGTCACGCAGGGGGTGTGACGTGTTGTTCAGAATCTGGAGCAGTTTCCTCTGCATCCTCTGTTCAGACACCTCTGTCAAGAGACTTCACGTCCACTCCCAGAACTGAGCCAGCTCTCTTGATGAGCTTATCGAGTCTGTTGGCATCAGCTTTCTTCACCCTGCTGTCCCAGCACAACACAGTGTAGAAGAAGACACTGGAGACCACCTAGTGGTGAAACATCTGCTGCATGGTCCTGCAGACATTAAAGGAACTGAGTCTCCTCAGAAGAAAAAGGTGACTCTGTCCTTTCTTGTAGAGGGTGTTGGTGTTAGCTGTCCAGTCCAGTTTATTGTCTAGGTGGACCCCCAGGTACTTGTAGCAGTCCAGTGTCCACCGTAGTACCCTTGACGTTGATAGGGTTGGGGGGGCTGGTCTTCTTCCTGTAGTCCACCTGCAGCTCTTTAGTTTTTCCATCGTTGAGTCGCAGGTGGTTCTGTCCACACCACTCCACAAAGCTGTCCACCACACCTCTGTATTCAGCTTCCTGGTCACCAGTGATGCAGCCCACAATGGCAGGGTCATCTGAGAACTTCTGCAGATGGCAGGGTTGTGAGTTGTACCTGAAGTCCGAGGTGTAGAGGGTGAACAGAAACGGTGAGAGGACCGTCCTCTGAGGAGCCCCTGTGCTGCTCAATATGGTGTCCGAGGTGGTGTTCTGCAGCCTCACATACTGTGGTCGACTCGTGAGGTAGTTTCCGATATATATAGAATATAACTTGCACCGTTATATTCTACCATGTTGTTGTTTATTATATTTCTTTTGGACCTTGTAAATTATAAATTTCATTTTCACTTTTTGGTACTTTCTTTCGTACTCTTATTGCATGCTTTAGTATTTTTTTATATTTATTTTTTTTAGCGAGTCAAATCGATTCTTCTCATCCTAAACATTTCATTGCATTGTTGACCTTGTGTTGATCTGCATATGACAAATAAACCTAAACCTAAATATTCAAATCTGATATTTTACTTTGCATCAATGCCACAAAGGATATTCTGTGTCCACTCATCTCTTCTATTTTTAATTAAATAAATGTAACTGCTGACAAAAACCTACAACCATTTTTCAACATCTTGCAAAAAACTCTAAAAATTTGTCAAAAGTCACAAATCAGACCTCTAATTTATAAAATAAAGTTAGATAACTTTAAAAATCTGTTTTCACCTGCAGATACTGGTTTACTCTTCACGTCAGCTGTATTTGTTTTGGTTAAATACGCAGCAGAAAGCTGCTTAAAGCATTTCCTACCTGGGATCCTTTCTTGCTTCCTGGTAAGTTGATGATGAGCGTCTTCCCTCGAATGCCACACACTGGTCTGTAAACACAACGTTATTGTGAAAAGCATGTTTGCTTATGACAAGAAAAATGATTGCAGGTTATTTTTTCCTCTGTAGATAAATAAAAAAACAAATTATTTGAACTTTTTTTTATTTTTAATTTAGGACTATTTGAAAAGAAAAGACAAAAGTATGTCTTTGTACAGTTTAACTAATGTTCCTCTTGTGGATTTTTATTCAAGGCAAAACAAAATAACAGTTTTGTGTGGGTTGCAGTGATTCTCTGACCTGGAAAGCATGCCTAGTGGTGTGACATTGAGGGATCCCATCAGCATTGCCAGAGACATCCCCGGAGCCTCACGCTCGATCACCTCCTTAGTAGCCTGGAGAGAGAAAACACACTTTGGAGACTGTGACCTCGGTGTAACTTAGGATAGCAGCTCTGTCATCACTGGAAGCAAATTATAATAAAATTTTGAACAAATATAACCCACATACGCAATTTTTCAGTTTCATCACCTATTCAAACACTTTAAAGAATTACTTTTTGTCAAGGTCTTTAGTAAATTTGGAACACAAAATACAATTTCTTTCTTCTGTAAATGTTTTCCTCACTCACTCTTATGCAAGATGGACACCTTTCTTCCCTCTCCCAGCCTCCTCCTGCTTCTTTGCTCTCTGTCTTGTGTATCGGCGCTCCTATTTACACATCTTCCGAAACGTAAAACTGCTATCATGGATCTGGTCAGCTGGACTTTTAACACAATCGATAAATTTTTTTTTCAACAAAGCGACAGGGTCCTGGAGAGCCCTCATGTCCTGCTGAGATTCACGCTGCAGGATACATCATGGATCCGTGGGGAGTTTGGAAACTGATGTGCCTTTTCATATTGTCTCAGGAGGATGCTGAAGATGTTAGAATTATTATAGCAGGGTTTCTGCTTTTTGGCGCCGGCATATACCCATGTTATAGGCTATTAAAGAAGACGGCGACTGCAGTTTCGGCCATGGCAAAGCTGCCGAGCCTATGTGAAGGTTTGGTTTATGCTTCGAGCACTCAAAATCAGCTGGTTTATGAGCTAAACCGTAAGATGGAAGCGACTTGTGAGAATTGCAGGCCACCTGCGGCTTCTGGGACTCGCCAGCATGTTTTGGACAACCTTGGAGGGAGCTTATAAGCACGGACCAGTGGAATGCCCACATATCTGGCCCTTTTGGATCGAAAGTACCAGCAGAACTCAAGGCTGACAAGAAAAAACAGTTTGCCTGAAAATAAAAAAAATAAAAATTGTGGCTTATCTGACTCTGACTCCCCTGTTTGGTCTCAAAGCAGGCTGACTTATCCAATTTCTCCTGGGATATGTGTAAACGAAGAAAAAGCTCTGTCTATCGCAACTTAGAAGTTGAACTTGAAGTTTGATCTGCATGTGAATCTGGATAACATAAATGAGCTTCTCATACAGTTTAAAAAGTTTGGGATGCTAAATTCTCTTTTTTTGACTTGAGAAAGCCTCTCAAATTCAAAATGAAACATCTTCAACTACAACAACTTCAATTGTTTTGTTATAAATTTTTGGGATGTGGGAGGGGGGTGTTGCCAGAGGAATGCAGCTTTTGGACATTTTTGCTGTTCCTATTCAAATGGCACAAGATAAACCACCCCGTGATGGGGTAAAATTTTAACAGTACTCAGGGTTTTCGTCTTGAAAGCTTTTTTTTAAGATGTTCTCCAAAGAAGAGACTTTGATGACGCTCTCAGCAGTCATCATATAGTTCAGTTTTCTTGTCATACACTAGTTGCTATTCTAATATGTGATGTAGTTTAGCAGGATGCTGTCAATAGTGCTCCCAACAAATGATGGTGAAAATGGAGAGGGGATTCTCACTTTAAGTCTTCTAACAAAGTAGGTGTGTGAGGAAGGTTTATAGTGTTGTAATTTTGTTGTCCTTATACGGTCATTAACTGTTCCACCTTTGCCATGTTTCCCTCTCATTGGGGTTGAGCTCCATTACACTGTTGTATCATGTGATAACTTAATGAGCAGATTATGCTAAACATAGCAAAAGAGACATGTATCAGTAGAGTGAAAAGCAAAGGACTGAGCACACATCCCTGAGGGACACCTGTTTTCAGTCTGTATGTATGCATGTAATCTGTTAGTGTTGCAATATCAAAAGTGTGGTCTTAAACATGTACTAAAAGTGAGCAGACACTAAAACTGACAGATGATGCTGCAGCAATTTACAGTATTAGACAAACACTGTTTTAATTAGCGCTACAGTATGTGAGCTTCATCAAGAAACCAGACAAAAAGAATAAAATATGTGCAAAATGAACATATCTGTTTAGTACTCATGAGTGTGGGACTGAGGTATAAGTGCCACATTCCTGAAGGAGAAGTGGCAAAAAGGACAAATTTATCTTCCAGCTATGTGAGGCTTAAGTTGAATGACACTTCTAGCAAAGCAGGGGAGAAAAAAGTCAAAGGAGAGGAGGGGCTGATGAGCCTCTCTAGCTTGGATTTTAGAGAGAAGATGGGCGTAGGGAGAGAAGATGGATGAGAAGAGTAATAAAGTAGGAGGTAACTGAGGAGAGGTGAAATAGAGACACAAGGAAAGGGGGAAGCCGAGGGTCCAGTGGGGCTGAATTTATGCTTCATCATTAAAGCAGCCTGTACAGAGTCACTGACTGGAAGCAGTCCGATAGCTTTTCTTTTAACTTTACTCAGTTGCGGCATGTATTCACATCAAGTTTACAAGATGTATAATTTGAGCAATTTGTTCCCTACTCAAAGAAAAAAATGAGTTAGAATTTTATTAATTACACATGTCTGAGGGGGGTGCATAAATCTATCAGCAAGGGCAGAAGATAGGCTCTGCCTGTGAGGGTAGGAAATATAACAGAACGAGATTCCAAGAAAGGCTCCAATAATATCCTTTAATTGGAGACTAATTGCTTTCCTTTGCAAAGATATGACTGTATTGTAAGTGTGTAAATTGAAGTAGAATATGGTTTAATTTCACTTAATTTAAAATAATTATTTTTTCAACAAGGTTTTGTAAAGAATCATTAAACTGACTATGATTATACATTGAACATTTCCTTTGAAAACAAAACTTTATTATGATAAATGCTGGATCAGACATGTACTATGCTTCCAAAGTCTCTGCACCAAGTCTATAAAAACTATGTCAGGTTCACATCTAATCTAGTTTGACTGACTGACATTTTAGTGACATAAGAATAGTTCAAGTAAAATATGTATGAAAACCTTGGAATGAAGCCACACATGAGAACACAACACAAGCTTTTATCTTAGTTTAGTTCTACTAGCAAAATGGTCAGTGTAATAATAACATGTTGCTGTTGCTGTTAAGACATCAGCAAGAAATACAACTGTACAGTTAGATTAATATGCTTGCAGAATACATGGAAATATACTGAAATTACCAAAACCTCAAGTAAAAAATATAAACTTGACCTCAGTGTTTTTGTGTGTACCATGCCAGTCTTTCCAGGAAATGTGAGATTCAAAAGGTGAATCGTTTAACATCAAAAGGTTTAATTGCATAGATCCACTGAGAGGAGAAGATATTTCCCAAGTGATTTAAGAGACTAAAATCAATAATGACTGCTAATGTAGATGAATGTAGATGTGGAAAAGATAGTTAAAGATTTCTCTGCTTCAGACAGTTGAGATATGGAGTGTTTAATTTGTTAATGGATTCAATGGAAAACACTGCAACACGCAGAGCTTTAGAGCAAAAACAGGCAATTCAAAGAGACTTATCTTTTTACGTGTTTGCATTACTCGTGCAAAATGGAGCACATGGCTGTTAAAATCTTACCTTTAATAAAAAAAATTCAACATGACAGGGTGTTGTTCTCAAAAAAGCAGCGAAACTGAACAGTTTACAGTCAAGGCTTTCCATCCATCACATCCTATAACATCTTTGTTAAACAACTGCATCTTCTACAACTCATCCCGAATGACATTGAAGTTCAATACAGAGCAGCACTTTCATATCATTTGGCCACAAACAAACTTTTAAATTAGTACTATCTTAACGATGATATATCAATTATAGTACTTTTTGCTGTATAAGTCGCACCTTTTTGCCTGAATTAACATGCCCTGCGACTTATACAGCGAAGCGACGCATTTATGTTTTTTTCCCATATTTATAACCCAATTTTTGGCTGAGATCTGATGATTTCATTCATTCCGACATGGACAATATTGAACACTACCATTTTCAGCAGCTAGAGGGCCCTTGACTAATATGGCAAGCCAAGTGTCTCATTAATAAGTAAAAGTGGTTATTATTGAGACAACTGGCTTGCCATACTAAGCCACCTTCGTCTCGCTCCGGAACTCCAGGAGCAAACGTCAAATCAGCTGCATTTTGTCGCGCCGCTCATTCGAAATGCAGCTGGTTTGACTGTTAAAGTGCATTTATTAAGGAAAAGTTACACTGAAACACACCTTTCCTATAATGCCGAGCAAACAAATAATTGTTAATCTTGTTAAATTCTTGTTGAAGTCCTCCCATACATGCTCCCACGGCCGCCATTTGGCAGTCAATCGATTTTTGGCACAACACCGGCTCACGTTTCCGGGTGGTCAGCGGTGACGCATAATAGATGCAACTTATATGGCGAAGTGACTTATTAATTTATTTTTCCATTTTATTAAACATATTTGGACTGATGCAACTTATACGGTGGTGCGATGTGTACGGCTGAAAGTATGGTAATATACCACATACGTAACTTCTACTAATGTTTCAAGACACATTTAACCACTTTGCGTTTGGTTTAACACTTTGTTGCTAGAAGACAATTACAAAAAAAAAATCTTTCATAAGAGTCTGTTTCACTTTTAACACAAGAATTGTTTAGGTTTCCCAGTCACCAGTGTAAAATACACTTGGGCTCCATTTCAGCTTTCTAAGGATGCTGGAAAACTTTTATGAGACTCAGCTGATGTCCAAGTAATCCTTCCTGTCTTGACTACACTAAACATTGTAGGTAGGAGAACTTTGAAACAAGAACTAACAAAAGAATCCTTGAAGTACACCCCAACTTGGAACAAAATCACAATAAATCTCTTCTACTTTTATAATCTTTTAAGTTTTTTTTTTTAACCTCTGATTACATTTAAATGCTAAAATTACTGAAAGCAACACTTCCTCAGCAAAAATAGGAATGATTCAGTTTCGCATACTGTTGGTCCTATATATTAACATATTTTTCGGACTATATGGCACACTTAAAATCCTTTAATTTTCTCAAAGCCTTATAATCTGGTGCACCTTATATATGAATTCTGGTTGGGCTTACTGACCTCGAACCAATATTATGTGGTTATTGTGAATGAGTTGAATAAAGTTTGACTTATCTGACTGACTTGTTTCGCTTAATGCGCCTTGTAGTCCAAAAAATATGGTACAACTAATGATTAGTTTCCTATCATGGCATTAATGTGTTCAACCATAACTGCTGTAACAGGATATGGTGACATGAGGTCAGGTTCGGACACACACAGACACACAAAGCAACACTTCCACAGTGTGTACGTGCTAAGTCTGCTGCTGTCAGCCATGATGGATGAGGACCAGTGACCCAATGGAAAACCGCAGTTCACTTGTTTGCATGAATGACTGAGTGTGTGCTTGTGTGTGCTTGGATGAAGGTAAAAAAATACTTTGTTAGTGTGTTTTCCATCTGAAAACATGTCTATGTTCACAAGCATGTGCACACGTACGAAAACTGAGTAAAAGTTATTTTCTTTTAAAACCAGTTTGTTATTTCTTGAGTAAATATAGTCTTCTTGTTTCTCTGAATTGTGGTCTTGGACATAAACACAGTACATACTGTTTCACAAACTTTTGATTTGAAATTGATAAGGTGAAGTATACAAACATTAAGTAAAAAAAAAAAAACTGCCTCAAAAATTATTTTCTATCTGATTATGATTATTGTTTTGATATCTTTTTCAGTTATGCTAAAAAAAAAGTACTACTGACAAACATTTTTAATAATAAATTGATTTCATGAGATCATCTTAAAACCCCCACATATGCTGTTTCTTGACCCAAAATACATAATTATTAGAAAAATCAAACAATGAACCTGTTAATACACAATTAAATAAAAAGATTACCCAATAACTCGTTCAGTAAGTGACGAGTTACAAGAGTTTAAAACCAGCTGACATTTACAGCTATTGTGACACAATTCCTCACTGTTTACAGAAGAAGGAATGGAATAAACAATAAATAATATTTAGTTGTATTTCAATACAAACTGGAAAAATAATTACCATAACCTCAGCCAAATGTAGCAGTAAAATTATGTTTTACATAAAAGTGTGAGTAATAATATTGATGTAATATATTTTAGAACAATGTCATGAAGCTTGACCCACAGTGAGTACTTAAAACTTTATTTGCCTACATTTTTGCAACAATTGTGCATATTTTTACACACAAAATTTTTTTTAAATGTAATTACTCAGTGCTGCGCATTTAAGGTGAAAGTTTATCACCAGCTGCGGTTGTCAATTTGGTTTTCTTTTTCAAATAACATTCATGTTGGTTATTAATCAACTGTGGTCACAACTTCTGAAATACAAAACTACTGCAATTTTGATTTCATAAAGCAGCGATACAAATGTAAAAACAAACTAGAGAAATTGCATCTCCTGCGAAAATGCAGTGCTTATTGCTGACGACTTTGCTGAAAAAAACAGCTGATATTAGCTAAAAACATGCTGAAATGGTAGAATAAGTCAAAGTTAGCAGAAGAAAGAACCCATATTTGCAAAATTGATTTTAAATTAGCAGAAACAAGCACAGAAATTAGGACATTAGCTTCAAAAAAAGCTGAAATAAGCAAAAAAAAAAAAAAGTTGAAAAGTAGCTGAAAAGTCAGAAAGCAGCTTAAACTACCAGAAGAGAGCTGCAAGAAGCCGAAATGAGCTAAAATAAATGTGGAAAAGCTGATAAAAACTTAATTTAGCACGAAAAGAGCTAAATGGTAGCTGAAATAGTAGAAAACGTTGAAACTAGCATAAATAGGCTGAAAGGAGCACAAGCTGAAATTAGCAGAAAAATGTTAATTAGAAATTACCATCTAAAAAGAGCTGAAAGTACCTAAAATGCTAAAAAGCTACCATATAAAAGGTAGAACAAGCTTAAATTAGCAGAAGAAAGCAGAAAGAACACAATTGCTCAATTAAGTTGAAAGAAATAGGACTGAACAGGAAAAAAGTGGAAATTATCTAAAATAAATCATCATTTAGCAAAAAAACAAAACAAAACAAAAAACAGCTAAATAGTAGCTAAAAATCACAGAAAGAAACTTAAATTGCCAGAAGGAAGTGGAGGGAGCACAATTGTGCCCAATTAGATTAAAAGAAGCCAACATGAGTACAAGCAAGTGGAAATTATCTTAAAAAAAGTAGAAAATTTGCTAAAAAAAACCCAGCTGAAAAGTAGCTAAAAAATCAGAAAGAAACTTAAATTGTCTGAAGGAAGTGGAGAGAGCACAATTGTGCCCGCTTAGGCTGAAAGAAACAAATCAGCAAAAAAGTGGAAATTATCTGAAAAAAGCAGACATTTGTCAAAAACAGCTGAATAGCAGCTAAAAAAGCAGAAAAAAACTTAAAGTACCAGAAGGAAATGTAAACAGGATCTCACTAGGGTGAGCTCAGTAGCTTAATAAGCATTCACACAAAAAGGGACAATGTTTTTTATGCCAGGACATAAAAGTGTACTCTTTAAAATCACCTCTTGGATTTCTTTTCTTTCATAAGAAGCAGTTTTATAAAACACAGGCAGGATGGAGTGGATGGAGAAAAGTTTCAGGAGTGATTTGCAATAAAAAGGGTGTCAGCAAAGATCAAAGGAAAAGTTTACAAGACAGTGGCGAGACCAGCTCACGTTGTATGGTCTGGAGACAGTGGCATTGACAAAAAGGCACGAGACAGAACTGGAAGTGGCAGAAATGAAGATGTTGAGGTTCTCAGGAGTGACAAGGATGGATAAGATTAGAAATGAGATCATCAGAGGTACAGCACAGGTTGAACTGGGAGATAAAGTTAGAGACTGAGATGGTTTGAACATGTCCAGAGGAGAGACAGTGGGTATACTGGTAGAAGGATGTTAGAAATGCAGCTGCCAGGAAAAAAGACAAAAAGGAGATACATGGATGCAGTTATAGAGGACATGGAGGTGGTTGTAGTGAGGACAGAGGATGCAGAGGACAGAGATGGAGGAGGATGACTCGCTGTGGAGACCCCTGAAGAGAGAACAGCCGAAAAAATAAGTTTTATAAAACACAGATGTGTATTTCTTTATTTACCATTTGACCAGAGGACTAATTAGTGGAAACATGAGCTGATCAGTAAAACCAGCTGGTAATGATGAAGCACGTGCGGCACCAGGAGACATGCGCCTCTCAAAATCCATTCACGGTAAAATATAACAAAGCTCCTTCACTTTCTGCGCTTATCCCTCCTGTAGAAAACGTCACACCTGAAATGGTTGTAATGCGTCCTCATGCAACATTTTAAATTTAGGACCTTCCCCTCACAAACAGCAAAGTTAAGACCTAAAAAAGCTACACAACAAGACTTAAAACCTTTTTTTTCTTTCTTGCATGCTGAACGGCATGTTGATAGCTTTATGAGTGACACGTTGAAACATAAATCACGGCTCACCTCTGGTGTGACGTCTCTCGGAGCGAAGCCCGTGCCTCCGGTGGTGAGGATGAGGTTGAGTTCTTTTTCATCGCACCAGTGCACCAGAGTCTCCTGTTGGCAAGCATGCCCACATGTATGAAGATCATCCGCGTACATTAAAAATAAACAAATAAAAAAAAAAAAACCAGTATGAACAATCTTTACCTTAATTTCATCTATTTCATCTGGCACTATCTTGTAGGCGGCAATCATACCCCCCAATCTGAGAAAAGAGGAAGCGCTCATGAGAATGCACTCGACACTGCCAGAAAATATTTTATTTTCTTGTGTTGCACATCTCTCCAGGCCACAAAGGTCAGCTAAAGAGCTACAAACCTTATCAAACATTGATAACTCCTTAAGTTAAACCCTTAATAACCATTTCAAGGACACAATCTCTTTATCAGTATACAGAAAACAGCGAGACGCTTTGTCAGACCAGAATGTTAAGGCAGATTTTAAACATCTTTCTAAAAGGCCGGGCTGGTTTGGCAAGCTGTTTTTTTCTCTTATTAAATGAAATAATCCCTTAAAAACTGCACTTCCTATTTATGCGGGTTATCTTTGTCTGACATTGCAGTTTGTTTGGAGATCTGTTAGTCTAAGTATGACAAAACAAACTTTGTGGCATTCATACTAAAGGCTTTTGTTTTTGCATTAAAACAAGCATTTTTGTTGGCATGGAAACAACAAATCTTTTAAAATAAACTTAATTTCATGACAAATTTACAGACAATACAGGTGTAATTTTTATTTTTTTTTAGATTAACAGAGGACAAAACAAAAGACAGGAATTTTTATGAAATGTAGCAAAAGAGTGATAAAATTGGAGGAGATAGAAACAGTAAAATTATATCCATGTGTGAAACTGTGAAAGGTCCTGAAAGGATTTTGGACCGGATGTGGAAGATTTGAGGAGCACAAAGTTGCAGCTGATGTTTCTGAACATCAAGCCACAGCGACCTCATGTGGTCAGTCACAGTTTAACAATAATAGGCTGAAGAATCTGAGCAGAAAGTCTTCATGTAACCTCTTTTTCTTTTCAAGAGCGCTATATTTACATGTTCACCGCATCATCTCCGTCTCAGTTAAATGCTACAACAGTTACCCTGACCAAACACCCCCCACCCCCAAAAAAGATAAATACAGTCACTGTCTTGTTTTTCTACATGAGTTTGTCCTCATTTAGGGAACTTCACAAATGTTCAGTCAGGTCATCTGGATGGTTTCTTTTTTTTTTTTTTTTTTTCTGAGATGTTTCGTCCTTCATCCAAAGTACTTCATCAGTCCGAGGAGCCACAAACAAACTGCAGCATGGCTGCCTTAGAGGAGTTGACAGAGGAGAGGGCGGGCCCCAGAAACCATCTTAACACCAACAAACTGTCCCCCCCCCCACTATGGGAGTGTGGTGCTTGTGGGACTCCAGTTTGTTTGTGGCTCCTCCTGCTGATGAAGTCCTTTGGATGAAGGATGAAACATCTCAGAAAAAAAAAGAAACCGTCCAGATGACCTGACTGAACATTGTTGGATTTTTACCTGGATTATTGATCATGAACTTTGGTGTTCACAAATGATAAGTTCTGCAACCTAAAACAAGGCTAGCACTCTTCAAGGAACATATTCTCTCTTTTCATGACAGAGTGTTAGAATAAGATCCTCTTATGCAAAGAATCAACAGAGTTAAAAACTAGTTTTGTAAAACATCTTGGCACTGATGGTGGAGCCTTCACCTTTCAGTGAGAAGGTTGCCTGTTCGAATCCCGGCCGGGGACCTTTTTGGGTGGAGTTAGTATGTCCTCTTAGAGCATGCGTGGGTTTTCTTCGAGTACTCCGGCGAATTGCTAACTCTAAATTGTCCCTAGGTGTGAGTGAGCATGTGAATGCTCGTTTGTCTCTGTGTTGCTTTGTGATGGACTTGCGACCAGTCCAGGGTGTCCCCCGCTGCTGGATATGGAAACCAGTGACCCGGAAAGGAACAAGCAAGTAAAGATAATGGATGGATTAAAAACAATATTATCCGTAATCTCACGCAGTATTCCATTATTTTGCATTATTTCACAGGATCTGGAGTGTTTTGAATGACCGTTAGCTACAACCACACCAATGTTTAGCTCAGGTTCTGACCAAAGAAGCATTAAAGCTGGACACGATTGTTTACTGTAAAGGGAATCTTTCAGCCAGTGTGTGTGTGTTTATACATATTAGTGGTTGAGCACTTGTCCACTCATGTGTTAGTGCATCTGTGTTACACCTTGGGAGACTACAGGAGCTGTCAGGACAGATCACCACTTACACCCTCCCAGGGTTTGAATGCCTCTCTGTTTCAGCCCAAATGAAAATATGCTCAGCACAAATAACAAGGGTTCCTTCCCACCGTTTCCTTGGCAACGCCTCTTGTCTGCAGCTTCCTGTTTTTGTATTGTTGATTGTGTGTGTACGAGTTGTGCCTTTGGATGTTTTGAGTTTGTTTTTCTTTTACAAATCAGAAATGCATATTTATTGCTGAAACACACTGAGTAAATTCGCACATGCAGCTGTGTGTGTAATTTTTGGACATTCACAAATATCCTGATCTGACCAAGCAGGATATTGACTAAAGTTAAACACTGCAGATTTGTACAAAAAACAACAAAAACCCTGAAATAAATATGTACTAAAAACTGACATTTTAATGTTTGAATGATATCAATAAAAATCCAACATGCTAACCCCATTTGTTAATATCACAAATTTCCACAAAGGTCCAAGTGTATTACTCCACAAAAGCAAAATGTTTAAAAAAAGAATGTAATTTGTATTAAAATTTCTAAGCAGTTACATGCAAATAAGAAGACTGATTCTAGGAAAGACATTTTGTTAATTTTTTGTGTCATTTTGTGACGACATTCCACCTTAAAATTGAACAAATTCACTAAACATCTATCATCTATAGATTATATAGACATATAAATGTAAATTTTATCATCACCCACTGCCAAACTTCTACAACCTGGTAATGTTTAGCCCATATTTGTGGGTTTGTCTGTTACCAAATTATTTCATGCACCACTGGATGAATTTTAATGAAACTTGCAGAAAGTAAAAATTGAAAGTTCACCTATAACTGGAGTCAACCCATTTCAAGATGGCTGCCAAAGTTAACTCACCTTCCACAAAAATAACTACAATTCAGTCAGTTTTAAAGATACTGTGCTACATTTCGATGTGGCTGCAGCCGATAGTAATTCACATTAAAATTGCTACTTAAAGTGAAATATCTTTGCTTAAAACTCCAGCAATAAATATTGCTGTCAATCCTCTTTGTCTGTTAGCAAAATACTTATGAGCCACTGGAAGGATTTTAATGCAAATGAACAAATATTAAGCTAATTTTAAATTTGACGTGAAAGTAGCTGAGAGTCATTCACAACACTCTGAGTGTGACATCTTGTGATTTTGCACAATATTTTACATATTGTTATTTTTAATGTTTAGCCAAAACGGGCGCAACTAGGCCTGTCACGATAACAAATTTTGCTGGGCGATTAATTGTCTCAGAAATTATTGTGATAAACAATAATATTGTTTGAAATTTGACAATAATTAGTAATTATTGTCAAATTTAAGAAGAAATGTTGGTAATTTGTTTGGTGTGTAGTACATTTTTTTACCACTGGACGGCAGTATAAGACTGTTTGAACCGAAGGATGGATAGAGAGGGAGCGAGCAGTGAGTCTATTTAAGAACAATGGGAGGGGGCCCCTTGACGTGACATGGGCTGTTTCTCTTTCATGTTTTTCGGTTCTCAAAATGGCGGATGCTAGGTGTGATTTGAGCTCTTTAGCATAACATTTGTCACACAAAGCTTTAATTAAAAAAATCAGTAAACAAGTTCTCAGCTTCTTTTTGCAGAGAAAAACAACTATTTACACGAAGGCACGGGTTTCAACCATGAATTTTAGAGCTTCAATAAGACAGAGTTTTTTCCCCGAGGTCGGCCTGTAAGCTTAGCTAGTAGCTTAGCTTCTCAGCTTAGCTGCTTTTAACAATCCAAAAATGTGATTTTGGACGGTTAAAACAGATTTTTATTTTAAAGAAAAAAGAGAAAGGGAGGGGTCAGTGAAGAGCACCGGAGGTGAGCCTTTTTCTCATCCAGTGTCTTCAGTAGAAAGAGAGACAAGAAGAAACGATAAAGCCGAAAAATGAAAATGAGGTTGATAATTTTCATTTATCATGCAATTAATTGAGTTATTGTTTATCGAGACAGGCCTAGGTGCGACGCCATCATTTCTCATCCAAAGAGGATTTAGCTAAAACTCTGGCGTGAAAGGCAGCGAGTGCTATGCATTCCTAAAAGAAATAGGCCTTTTTGATCTTTTTTTTCCTTTCTTTTCACCAAGTCGATCAAATTGAGATGTAACATCTCTTCCAACAGGGAGTTGTAGGTGGGTGGGTGTTTTTGCATAACTTCTCTGCAGATTCACTGCTTGGCTTTACATTAAATGGGTGTGCGCTGAAATAAGAGAGGACTATTAAAGGGGAAAGGTAAGCTTTTATTTTCAAAGAGCCAACTGCGTTTTTCTTTCTCTCTCTACTGAAGAGGGTTACGACATTCAGCTGTTTTTTTTTAACTCCTGGCTGAACTAAGTCAGCGTGGAAGAAAAGTTTTTCCTTGGGGGTGTTGACAAATCCTAATGCAGGTAGAGGAAAAAATAAAAGATGCAGAGAGAATAGGAGGGTCGTGTTGGGGGGGCTGGAGCATGGCAGCAGTTTTGGCCTGAAAGCTTGGACATCTTGGCCAAGTCTATGAATAAAAGACGAGCACAGAAAGGAGGATAAAGAGGGGAAGACAGAATAAGAAAGAGGCACAGAGTGAAAAGAGTGCGGGAAAAAAGTAGAGATGGACTGTTAGGGGCACACTTAACAAGAAAAGGGGAAATTGCATGCGTGTGTGCATGTGTGTGTGTGTGTGTGTGTGTGAAAGCACGTTGCAAATCTCAGTGGTTGTGGGACATTTCCAAGAAGAGACCCATCTGCCAGGGTGATTTCATTAATAATACAAGCTCTTTGTACAAAGCACTCAATCTCACTCTGTGTGTTTCTCTTGCTATCACAAACACACACACACACATGCACACACGCACGCACAATGTGACAAGGGCCTCGGTCATCTCCACACTCCCAGCAGTAACATGGAGCTGAGCCCATTAGAGCTAAGTTGTTGGTTCATCCATATGTAGGAAG